AAGATGAAACAAATCAATAAATAATCAGCAAATAAATGCAACATATCCATATTGTCTTGGAGACAACAGACAACTGCAGATCAAACAAAGAAACAAGAAAAGATGACACAAGTAAGGCACCAAAAGAAAGAATGGAAAACACCTCTGATGAAGAATAGGTAATAGAACTACCTGATAAGAAATGATCCCGGGTTCTGGAACAAAAAAAAAAAAAGATCAAGGAAAGCACTAACAAAATCAAAGTATATGTGAACTGCTGTATGGAAAGTGAATTTGCTCTGTAAATCTTTACCCAAATCACAACAAAAAAAAAAAAAAAAGAAAGAAAGAAATTAAAGAGATTTATACATAGGACTTGCCAAGCATTCAAAGAAACCACAAACCAAATCAAGGAAAACATAGAAAATATCCTAGAATAATTCAGAAAAGCAATACAAGAGCAAAATGACAAATTAAGTACACAATTAGTAACCACACTAAAAAGTGATTAGAAATACAGAAAATTACCGGAAGTCTTTCAGAGATAAATAAGACATTGGTAAGATAAAAGAGTCAAATTAAATCAATAGCAGAATGGGTCAAAGTATTAGAAGAAAATCCCTATTTGTAGGAGGAAAAATTAGAAAAAAAAGAATGAAGAAAACCTAAGAATTAGGTGGGAAATTATCAAGAGGAAAAATTTGCTTGTGATCTTAATTACAGAACAGGAGTAGGCAAAAATAAATAAGTAAATAATAAAATCAAATTATATTTCATTTGACTGCTAACCAGAAGGCTGGCAGTTCAAACGCACTAGCCACTCCTTGGAAGGAAGATTGGGCAATCTACTTCCACAGTGACACCACCTCGGAAACCCAAGGAGGGATCTCTATGAGTCAGATCCAACCTGATGGCAGTGAGTTGTTTTTGTTTTTCCCCCAAGGAAGAAGTGCAAATTGAAATCTTTGAAAAGCAATGCCATTTTCAATTAAAAATTCTGGAAAAATTTAGGCATAAATCTGATCAAAGAAGTGCAAGATCTGTTCACTGTAAACAGCAGAACACTGCAGAGAGAGATGAACAAGATCTAGAGTGATATTTTGTATTCATAGGTCACAAGACTCACTATTCTTCAGATATTAATTCTCCTGAAATTTGTATATAAATTTAATGCAAATTCAATCAAAATTCTTGAAGGATTTTTCTGCAGAAATTGTAGAATACCAAACTGTTTCTTAAATTTATATGGATATGCAAAGGACCTAGAATATCCAAAGTAACTTTGGGAAAGAACAAAGTCACAGAACTAAAGTGATCTGATATTAATAATTATTGTAAAACTGTAGTAATAAATACATATGACATTGTAGAAATGCATTAATGGAATTGAATAGGGAGTCCAGAAATAGACCACATCTATAGAAATAACTGTTTTTTTTTTTTTTCTTAAACAAAGTTTCAAAGGCAAATCAATGGAGAAAGAATATTTTTTGAAGGAATTATTTCATTTGTTTATGCTGTATAACAGCAAAATGTTTAGGCTGACATTTAACTCTGAATTCTTATAGTAGTCCTGAAGCTTGCTTAAGAATAGATTGCAAAAGTACATTGATTTCATATGCAAACACCAGAAAGTCTTTCTGGATTTGTCTTTGATGATTTTGTATTTTAAATTGTGATAAAATTTTATTTGCACTTTTTTCCTTTGAAGGGAGTAAGTTTAATAATTTTCAAAGCTTAATCTCCAAGATAATATAAGTAACCAATCTATTTTTATTTAGTTCAAGTATATTCTTGTATAAAATATAATTTATTTACTTCAAATATTGAAATTATCCTACATAGATCCACATGCTACAAACCAAATATACTACCAGAACTTTTCCATATTCCAAAAAGAAACATTCTCTTATAATCAAACCTATTATACTCTTTTATTCATAATATGTCACCACAGTACACTACATTACAATACAGTATATTAAAACCATCATCTTAAGAGAATTTCTGCAATATTCATGCTTGCAACAGGACTCCTAAATTATTTTCTTTTTAGAGCAAGTAAGAATAATTTTCTTATTAACAAAAACTGGCCTATCAGATTGTCTCAGGTCTATGAAACAAGTGATACTCTTGCTATATGTTTCCTAGACCTTAAAAAACAAAACATGTTAATTGGTTAACTTTTTAAAATAATTTGGAAAAACAATTATTTATTTGGTATGTAATTAGTACTTTCTGAATACCAGTCTCTAGGGGAATTGTTTTTTCTATCTTCCTTTTTTTTTTTTTTTTT